AGAAAACAAACACCCTTGTAAGTGTTGTTTCTATACAGACTTTAGGTAACAAGTTCTGCTGATCAGAGTAGTGTCCAGTGGTGGGTTTTTATTAAAAGACAGATTAACATTAAAATGCCCTTAGCTTATTCAAAAATAATTACATATACATAAAAAGAAATGAAAGACTGAGCCCACACTTGGGTAGCTCAAATCAAAAATTGGATTTCTTCCTAGGTTTCTTGAGTTATAGCATGCTAAAGGATAAGTTAACCTTTCTCAACATGTTACATGTTATGCCCATTTTTAAAGTGTTACTAAAGGCAGAATTTTTTTAAAATTAAAATAACAAACATGTTATATTGTGGAATTGCACAAAAAATATCTCGATCCTCCTCTTCTCGGATCCCCGGCTGGCGATTCTGGCTCCTCCTCTTCTTTGTGTGTCCTTATAGCAAGCATTTTGCTATGGAGACACACACTGCATGCTTTCTCCCGACCTGTGTGTCTACGAAGCAGTGAGTCCCTGTGTGAAGAGGAAGCGAAGGGAGAAGAGATGCAGCCGTGCAAAGCACTGATCTTTTCTCCCCTCTCTTCCCCTTCACACAGGGTAGGGGAGCACAAGGAAATTAAAAAGATTTTTTACCTTAATGCAAGCAAAGCATTAAGGTAAAAAATGATTTTCGGTTTAGTATCACTTTAGATGCAACATGTAACGTGTTGAGCATCCACCCCCCAACCCCCTGAATCAGCCCTCCTTGTGACAACAGGCAGGAGACCTTCTCCCAGCATCCAATGTAACAATTTGAAAAGAGAACAACCATGCGGGGCTCTGCCCACATGGCTGCATCATTGATTCATAGAGTTCTGTGAATGAATGCCTACAAGTACCATCAATCATTGCAGCTGATGGCTTGTAGTTCTCAATGAACTGTAAGGGCACTGATGAATGCTCTTGTAGTCTATTGGGCTTCAGTAACTGCTTGCCCATATCAGAGGTGTGGGCAGACAGTGTATCTGACAGTCTGCAAGAGCCTGACATTGAATCTGCAATCTTCTGATTTCCAACGCAATGCTTTACAGGCTCCCGAGGGAAAAATTAATAAATGCACATTATTTACCTGCAAAAAATGTGCATCTATTATATTTTTTTTAAAGGTGAACTTTTCCTTTAAATTTAAATGAATTAAATTGAAGGGACAACATTGTTTTGAAGGTTGTCACTGTGTACACTTTCTTTCATAATGATATTTTTTGTATAATAATCTTCTGATCGGTTTTAAAACATTTGAGAAATGCAAAAACTAGTAATGATGCTCACAGTTAAACTAAATTACTGAATCTCTACACTACAGCACATGAAACTAAATAGGGAAATTTGAGTAGTGTGCATGGAGGTCAGTCATTACAGTAATAAAAATCCAACACAGAAGCCACACATAGAGGCTGAAAACAACTCTTTTACTGCAAAAAACACCATAAAATCCTTTATTTTTTCATCTGTTCTCTAATCCATAACTGTGCTGTGTTTGCAGTCATCTATCAGCACTTCAGCATTTGAATCGGTATGTGCCACTTTTTTTAAATTGTTGGCACAGGGCATAGCCAAACCATAAAACCATGAGAAAGCATCTACTGCTTCTAAATGATCCTCGGTGATTCCTGCAATGCTCAGCTGTCATTCCTGCTGTTGTATCCTCGGCCATCTGACATGAGTCATAAATGATATTAAACAAGATAATCCCAAGTGTGGAACAAGCTTCAAAACTTTGTCAAAAATACATAAATTGTAAGACCACAAAATAAACTGTCATATTCAAATGCAGGAAGAACCCAGTTCCCATGCTTCCCGAAAAAGGACAAGACATCAGTCTCCATTCTTTGTACATAGAACTATCAATCCAGCATACCATCCTATAAATGCCAAATATCCTATACCTGTCATAGATTTATTTATTTTACTTATTTATATAGTACTGATATTTATGCAGCTTTCCAAAGAATACACAACGGAGGAACTAATGAAAAGTGACTGGGACAAGCAGGGGCGGACTGACAACTCATGGGGCCCCCGGGCAATAGGGGATCATGGGGCCCCTGTGTCCTTGCCCAAACTCAAAAAAGGCCTATGAAAAAGGTACCAGGGGCAACTCATGGGGCCCCCTACTGACCCCAGGCCCTAGGGCAGTGCCCGAGTCTCCAAATGGTCAGTTCGCCACTGGGGACAAGTTCTGTCTGGTGCTGTTGCTCATACCGACCAATCAGGTTCTATCTTTCATGATTTTCCACACAGCTTAGAAAATGAAAATGTAAAAGCTGACAAAGTTTGTCTCAGACATATTCTGTTAATTCCCATCAATGTGGCTGATTTATGTTGTTTATTGAGTAAAGATTCTAAATTCCTTTAGTCAATCACCCCTATTTTTTATTTTATCTTTGTCTCTGGCTATAATAGAGCCTATCACATATATTCTGACTGCATACCCATGCACAATCTTGAGCCAATTTTGGCTGAAACAGATACACTTACTAGTGCATTTCATGTTTATGGAAAAAATTCACACAAACAGGATATAAAAGCTCCATGTAAATAGTGTTCATGATAAACCTCACAATGTTTTTTAAAAAAAAAGTAAATTTCTCGTTTATGAAAAAGCAAAAACTGTTTATAATAGTGTGTCCTCTAATGAGTGTTGTGACAGAATTCCTGTCGCCCTGATTGGATGATTCCATCAGAGAACCACTTCCTTGCCACTGGGACACAGGACCAAGGTATTATAGCTGGGCATTGCACCCAAGACTAGACAAGACTAGCTTAGATGCCAAACTGGAACACTTTTTTGAACAAATATCACAGGTTTTTTATACATTTCACTAATAGGGGCAGCCCCCACATGATCAATAACTACAAATATTATAAACATCTCACACTGATTAGATAATGAGGTGAAGCTGACATTAGTCTAATCCCATCATGCAGGAGCCTCCAAGAGGACTTGCTAACAGACAAACAATAGGTGACACAATTACCTCGATTAACAATGGAATGCGCATCTAGGAGGCACAGGATGGTAGAGGGACACACAACACCTTAATAAACAGATTAGTGCAAGAGTCCTCACATTAGGTTTGTTTTGAGCTGATTATATCAACATTTGCTTAAGTCTCTGAGTCTAGGAGGGGGGGGGCTAAAAACGTTATGCTGGTTTGGGCACAGAGACCCCCCAATCTGTATCCTGGTCCTCCAGTTCTCAGAGTCTGTGTGTTTTTGGGGAGAAATGGACTTGAATCTGAAGTAAACTACTCCAAAGGTACCCCCAGGTACGCACCAAAGAACAGAGCCCACTCAGATGCCTGGGCATGGTCAGTAAGCAAGAGGCTAGTCTGCAGTCCCCACCAAAAGCCCCTGTCCCGTTTGGGTCTGTCACAGGCATCTAAAAACAAGCCTTTTTTTTTTTTTCACTGACGATTTTAACAGTAACAATAGCTTCCTGTCCAAATGTGACAACACTCAATATAATTTACTGTATCTATGGAGAAGTGGTGTTGTCACCATAGGACAGAAAGTGTATTAGTTCACAGAGGTGACATAGACAGTGCTAATACCTTTGCTTGAGATGACACTGCATCCCCATTAACAGACCCAAAGAGATCAAATAAGACATTCATTTTTAGTGATTACATATACTTTCATCTTTAAAGACTAAACTTGATATTATATTCCCTCTCTTTCTCTCTCTTTTTTCCTCCCCACACATCATTCCACACCATAACAAAACAAAATTGTTATCAGAGAAATACAATGGTATGTTTTCGGGATAATGATAATGAATTACCTATGTTGACAGCATAGATCTATGTACTGTGTAAGGTGAATATCTTTTTGAAATATTGGCTTTAATACTGCTTTAAAAGCAAGAATGATATTGTATGACATTTCTTATTGGTTCATTACCAGAACAGGTGGCAACATGCTGGAATTGGACATGCTTGGAGATCTGATCATAGCAGCTGGTCCTGTGATTGTAAGTCAGCGTATTTTCACATCTGTTATGATTTTTAGATTTTTTGCTATTGTATACCCTTTAAAATTTGTGCAATGGGACTTGTTAATAAACATCCCAAAACTCGGTTTGATAAATAATAATGAAAACAGGTATGCTCTGTGTGATCAGTTTGTCAGGTAAATACAAATCTTGTTGTTCCATGTCTGTATAGGCAGTAAAAGCATAATTAAAAATGTAATATTTTGCAGCTTATCAGCTCTTAGGTTAGGTAATCCCTGCTGAACCGGCCGAGATTTGATCTATCTATGGCCGGCTTAAGGAAGGAAGAATTATCATCTAACTTTATGCTTTACAGATAAATTAAGGTCCTATTGTAGTTGGTTGTTAATGTTTTATTGGTCTGAGCCAGCTAGATAGGCCATTGCTAATGCAATTTACTTATTTATTAAACTATTATGTATGGTTTGTAAATTTTATTTCGGTCACCCCTTAATAAAGCAGCATGGCATTTTCAGCCACTTTGAATCGAACTGAAGGTGTCTGGTAATATGTTTATATGTTACATTTATGCACATTCATGTACCATCCCATGATACCGATCAATCTTTACACTTGAAATAGCAATCCAATTGTGACTATACACTGACTTTCTTAGTCAGAAATAGATCAGAAATAGATTACCAAACCTTTTTTTTACCAAACCTACAATTCAAAGTAGACCACTTACGTCAAACACAATTAACCTCCCAGTATACAGTATTTTTGGGTTGTTGGAGGAAGCAAATGTATTGAAACGTTTCCATCATCCACTGTACTGGCCATCATTTGCTATGACATACTACCTTCTGTTGCAGGTTGGTGTGGGGTACATTACTGATGAAAACAATCTTTCAATAACTTAAAGTGTTACTAAACCCAGAGCCCTGCATTTGCTATATCTGATCTTCCACAGTACACAGAACATGGAAATGCAATTATTTTAGTAAATATAAACTGCTAAATACCTTATCTCATCAGCAGTTAGAGCAGTCTTGTGACTTCTATCAGTGTTCAGTAGAGAACTGGTTAAATCTCCTAGATTGTAAGCTCGAAAGAGCAGGGCCCTCAATCCCCTCATGTTTTGCATTGTATTGGTATTGTTCTGTCACATGTTCTGTCCCCCTTTGTAATGTACAGCACTGAGCGACCTATTGGCGCTTTATAAATACTGTATAATAATAATAATAATAATAATCTTGTAGGAGGAGTTTTCTCTAGGAGGATGCAGAACCCCTGAGCTCTGCCTGGGTCTGCTGATTGGCCCTCCCAAGAAAAACAAAAACCTCTCTAGCAATACACACCAAACTGAGCATGTGCAGTGTCTCCGAATGATATGTCTTATCAGGAGATAAGAGGGAGACACTGGAAGAACAGGAGGATCAGAGAAGTCAGGATCAAACATCGTGTTTACATAATGCAGAAGATTAACCCCTTAGGTTCCACAGTGAGTATAACAAGCATGCTTTACTGTATATACAGACTGATTTTACTGTTGTGGGTTTAGTAACACTTTAACTATATATTGGTTCTGTTGAAACAAGAACTGTACTTTGCCCAAACATGTTATAAAATGACACTATTATTAGTCACAATGTTCTAATTTGTACAATTTGCAAAGAAATCATGATCAGTAATTGTCTGTAGAATTTATATTCAATATGAAACTTGTAAAAATTAGATAGTAGTTGAGGGCAACTCTCCAAGAGCAATGTAGACAGAAATAAAAATTATTTTAATAGAGTGGGATAAGGCTAGAATCCCCTGTCAGATACTTATTCCTGTTTGTGCCCCTATTGCATATTTCTCTCTTCTTGTCTGGTTAAACTGTTGTCAGCAGGCTAAACAATGAGGGTAAATCTCGTCAACTGACTCCCAGTTAGCAATAAAAACCTAACATGAGTTCTAATTCTCCCTATATCTTATGGACAAGTTTCAAGCTTGCAGAAAAACCCCAGGATTCATGAAGTTGGTGAATTGCAATCCTTTGGCCAAACGATTTGTAGGTTTACAGCCAGTAAAAAAAAGAACAACCTTTATAGAGTCCCAAAAATAACTGAAGAGTTGTGTAACCCTGCCCACTTTCTATAAAATGGCCATGGCCAACGCAGCAGCCATATTGTCTCTATAGGTGCACTGTTAGGGAGAGCCTTATCTATAAATTGAGGGTAGGTGAGCAAGGTTTATCTTAGGCTGTCCATCATTCTTTATGAGCTTGCCTAAAGCAGATTCTTCCCACTTACCCTCAGGTTTGAGACCCAGGTACTGTTATAGACTTAGCTGTGCCATAGGCACTGATTGCAGGCCTCACAGGACAAGGTAGACGTTGTAGGGGGCAGTGGGTACACAGTTCTTAAGATCATTTATATTATATGCCACTGTTTTATTGGGTATACTATAATAAATGTAGTCGTTTAATGAATCGGCAAACTAATAACAATGATTTTACCTGTATAGTCTCACATTCATGGTAAAAATTTAGGGAGCATTCAAGAGTTAAGACATCATTAGACATGCAAGATAAAATATCTCCAGTGGGTGCCTGTTTCATGGTATTGTGAGGTAAGATGAACCTTTGAAGATTGGCTGATTTGAATAGCTACTTAAATCTAGGTACTTGACAAAGGGTCTTTTCAGTCCAATCTTATCTAGTGTATGCTCTTTGCACTGCCAACAATGCTACTATTACAAGAGGGGCTTCTAAGATAACCATGATCAAGTTAACATGCAGGTCATATTCAGAAGGATTAACTCTGAAACTGTATCAATTGCTCCCAAAGCTGATTTTGTTGATGACAAATTGTAAATTGAGCAGTTCTTGGAGTAATCATGTACTAAATTTCTAGGTAAAGGCAAGAAAAGAACAAATCAATCTGTTACTCCACATCAAGGCAGCAAATATAATGAAGCAACAAAAGTATAGTATTCATAAAAAGAATCGCAAATGAAAATGTTCTTTTTTTTAAATAAGATTAGTAATACTAGAAAACAATGGACTTTAGAGTTTTAGTCCTCCCATGGTGTAAAGATTACAAAAAAAAGGAATAAAAAGTTTTTGTGACTAAAATCTGCAGTTTTAATTCATACATCCCCTTCCTTTATGTTTTGTTAATACTACACATAGCAGACATGCCTTTTAAGAACTCTGGAATCCAGTGTAGCCCAAGTTATCAATAGTTGCTAGTTAATTGGAAAACACAGAATGAGCTAACTGTACATACTTCAAATAAATCAGCATTTTTAAATATTTTCCCTGATTGTGATGTTTTCCCCCATATTTACTAACTCTGAAATCATAAGCATAATTATTTATATTAATGCTTCCAAATAAACTTTATTTGCAGACATTATATTTCTGGAAATCTGCAGAACTGTCAAAAATTATCATTAGGAAATGGTTGTTTATTATTTAATATGTGACCAAAGGGGCCTGTATTTCATATTTAGTCAGTTATTTTAAACTTTTAAAAGCAAAAAAAATGGACTACAAACCCTGAAACAATCCAGAATCTGCAGTACTGTATGAAATGCATAAATATGCAGGAAAATGTATACACATCAGCAGGACTTACATTGGCTACAGTCACCTCCCTCCAGTGACCATGAACTTATAATAAAATGATCCAGCAGTTTTCTGCTGTATGACTGCAGACTATGTCCCTGTGTGGCTCCTTCTCTACCCCACCTCATTGTGTCTTCTTATACCCCCACAGTCTTCCAGTGCTGCTCTGATCCCTCATTCCCCCTCTTTCCTGTAGCTCTCATAGCTTTTCCTTTCACCCTCCTTGCCAGCAGTTAGTGGCTGTGGGCACTCAGAGAGAGTATTGCATGCTCAGGATTTGTCTTTTGATTGGTAGTATCAGTACACATTTCTCATGTTTCCCAACCCCTTCCATTCTTTTTCTGAATGAACACAATGTTGATCAGTGCTAATCACTCCTGTGTTTATTAATAACTGTAGCATAGTAAACAGTGTTTACTAACTTCAGTTTGTGAATGAACAGGAAGCCTCTGTACACAGCATTTCTTGTTTACTTACTCAGTAAAGCTGTAGCTGCAGAGGTGAAGGAGATTCAGTATCATCAATCTCTTTTTCTGTCTCAAAGGAACGTAAAACAGGAATGTAAAAATAAACCAAAAAAAATAAAAATAAAAATGTTAATTAAATAAATAAATAAACTTGCCTCCTGGGCAGATCCCTTCTGTCTCTTGAATAAATGGGAGCAATTGCAGTAGCTCTGATCAGGCTTATAACAAGGTTACACAACTGTGTACTCACACAGGCAGTGAGCCACTGGACATGGACAAGAACTGGACATGGGTTTGAAGGTTCCATCTCACCCAAGACACTTTGGAACCTTCAAACTCCAAGCCCTGATCCAGGATTAAAAAACCCAGAGAAAGCGTGTGTCAGTTTTATCTGTATTCCCATAATGGCAGGACCTCACACTGTCACATAGAGAAAGCTCTGGGACCAAATGGTCCCAAACTGCAATACTACCTATTGTTTCAAGGATAATGATATAAGTATTTGTTAGATGTCTACAATCCTATTGCTACAGAAAGTTCAGATGTACAAGGACTCCCTGAGGCCCATGTGACTGTCCTTCTGAAAGACAAAAAAGACTAATTTCTGTGCCAGCTACAGTCTCATCTATTTGTTAAATATAGACCTATTTTTTTTCTCTAAAACAACAGCCACCAGTCTTTCCCAAATTTACAACGACTTTCCTATCCTAGCCAAGTGGGCTTTGTCATTTTTACATTTATGTACTCACATTTATGCTGTTGTCAACAGACACAGTGAAAGCCTTCGAGTGAGATGACTGGATCTTTATAGAGGCAATACTAAGACATATTGGTTTGGTAGACTTCTTGCTCACCTGTGCTTTGGCTTTATACTCCAAACCAAGACCCAAATTAAAGGCAAATGGCAGCCTATAAGATTTATTTTCTATATACAGTATAAGGGGACTTAACAAGGATTTCCACTATTTCCTTTTATTTTGATCTTTTCACTTGAAACATTCCTCCAGAGCATCCAAGCAAAAAACCATTCATTGACGACCTTTTAGTTTTCATTGCTCAACCTCTAACATCCCTTCCTAATTTAAAGAAAGCATTTAAACTTTTTGAACATCTCTCTTTAAACATAACTTTCAGAAATCAGAAGCACTTCTTGTTCGTCTTAAGGAAGCTGGGAACAACCCCTCAAATAGACCACAATTTTGATCAGATTTCTAGGTACCCAATTATCAGTGAACCTCATTACCAATATGACTTTAACTTCCTACACTCTTGAAATGCATCAGAGCAGATCTTGATCAATGAACCTCAGAAACATTCATATGGTTTTGACATTGTAATATAATTAACCACTTGCCCTCCTGAGGATTTACCCCCCTTCCTGACCAGGCCATTTTTTATGTTACAGCACTGCGTTACTTTAACTGACAATTGCGCGGTAAGACAACATCCTTTTTTTCCCACGCATTGAGCTTTCTTTTGATGGTATTTGATCGCCTGTGCGTTTTTTTTATTTTTTGCACTAGAAAGCAAAAAAAGACCGACAATTGTGAGAAAAAAATTGCTATTAAACATGTCCAGTAAAAAAAATTAAAAATCTAATTTTATCATAAATTTAGGCCAAAATGTATTCTGCTCCATGTCTTTGTTTAAAAAAAAAATCCCAATACGTGTAAATAATTTGTTAACGTGAAAGTTATAGCGTTTACAAATGGCGGTATAGATAAGGGGATTTTTTTTTTTCTACTAGTAATGGCACTGATCAGCGACTTTTAGCAGGACTGCAGGACTGCGGCGGACATTCTGACACGGGGGGGGGGGGGACTAACTTGGTGTCACTGATACCAATACAGTGATCAGTGCTAAAAATAAGCACTGACACTGTACTAATGGCACTGGGCAGGAAGGGGTTAACACGAGGGGCAATCCAAGGGTTAACTGTGTGCTGGCAGTGTTTTACTAGGGGGTGGTGAGTGTTCTTCACTGTAAGCACACTGATCGGGATGGCTGTACTGTGCACAGTCATCCCGAGCACTGTGCTCGAGCTGACAGGGAGGAAGATTGTTTGTAAACAAAACAATCTTCCTCCCCATTGGAGATGCTCGGTAATCACCGGGCGGTGGCGAGTAACTACCAGGCGGGACCCGGTGATTGACATCCACGGCCGCGAACAGCCACCTGGGCAGAATCACAGACTGGTGTAGGTACAAGCAACAGAAACAACAACGATGGAGCTCTATGATCATCCATGGTGTCTGGAAGACATTTCTGTGGTGTTTCAGAATCACTTAATATATCCCATCTGTCTTCAAACACTATTCTTAAATTCCTAATCTGACTGAATGACTATAAATGTGACAGCTTTGTGAAGTTGGGAGTAGA